AGCCCTGACACTAAAGGTTTTGGTGTAAAACGCATATTTAAGCAGTGAAAAAAGATTATGTTAATCCATAAAAGATGAAGCTGAGCTAAAATGCCAATCAGCGGACTTGGCTGCTAAGTGTCATACTGAGAGACAATGATGGGCAGCTTTGTCTATGACAACACAGGGAACTGCAGGTCCTACAAATACTTAACGTTACCTAATTATATGTGGTTAATTGTATGATTGAGCACGGTGGTGAAAATCACTTTAAAAATGAAGTATTAGCAGGAAACAAGTTTAGGAAATGAATCAAAAGAGCCAAAAATTGTACACTTGCTAGCACAGACTCCAATCATTTACACATGTCAGTTTTCTACTGGCAATTAATAATTAAAATTATTTTACTTGACCTTCAGCAATTCAACTATAATAAATATCTGTTTTTCACTGATACTGCGAGCAATTGTGGTCACTATGTTACAATAAGCAATTTGACACTCAGCAATATGTGTCAGGACTAAACCCAACCTAAGGTTAACTTCATGTGATGTGCAGTACAGTATGATATCATCCCTGGTGCTACATCCAAGACTGAAGCAATAAGCAAGAGCATATAAGATGTATTCCACCTGAACCCCATACATCAAACAGCTGCTTAATTTCTGTAGATGCCACACATTCCTTTTGGTTGCTGAAATAAAGCACTGCATGAGGAGTAAATCAGCTATCTATCTCTTCATTTTTCCCTTTGCATTTGTTATTTTTGTCCTAAGGTTCGGGTTCACTATCACAATAACAACTGTGGTTCTTATTAGGTTACAGCAGCAACCTCTATCTTTACAAAACTCAAATACATTAGAGGTGTTTAAAATGATTGACATATTTATATACTGACAATCATCTAAAGTAAGTGTTAAAATTCTATAATTGGTGAATTCAAAGTACAAATTAAAAAAACTCATACAATAACTTAAATGGAATGGGTCATACATTCATCATACAGTATGTATAATAAGAGTCAACTATGATTATCCACAATGACTAATTGTGCAGAGTATAATTAAAATATTAATGTGACTATTTAAAACTGCTCCAAGCAACTTCCTTGTGCACACAGTATTCTATAATAAATTAATTTATTTAAAATGTGATGCATATCTAGATGATTTTTACTTGATGACTGTAAGAAAATCAATTTAGTAAATTAAACATACAAGAATTAGCTTGAAATCTCTATAGGTACTGTATATCACCCAAATAGACTTGTAAATTGTAATATAGACTCAAATGTTTTTTTTTCAGATGTTCTGTCTTGGGATTCCATTTCTTCCCTATTTAACCTCTTCCAGTTCCCCTAAGTATTGATAACTTCTTTGTATGCAAAAAAAAAGCCAGATATTTATCCTTCAGCAGGTTTTACAAGGTATTAACTTGAGATCACATCATAAACCTTTAGGTTTTTATGCAAATGATAGAGAAAGCAACACATACAGTAATAATGGGTCACATTCTACAATGCTTGAACCCTAATTATTAATATAAACAATAAATATCCTGTGGTTGCTCTGGTTTCCTCTCAAAGTCCAAAAACATACTGAAAGGTTAAAGAGCATGCATGTTTAAAGATATCAACTCATACACCACTGAGAATCACTATGAATACAGTAATAGTGTAGAAAATTTCTTCACATTTCCACAGGCATACTGTATTTCCCCTGTGAGGGAGAACTTGTGAATATCACAACACGTCTTTTAACATCTTTTGACATCTTTGCAATAATGCCTTCCCATCAACACATGATAAGTCACTTAGTGCTAATATCACTAATGCCCCTTTATCAGGTCTTTGTTGGCAAAGGTTCAGTAATTGCCAAGTTAAACTGAAGTCATGCAGTTTAACTGAATTATTAGTCAGTGTCTTTAAGGTGCTCTTGAATGCACTAAAGATTTAGAACAGGAGTCAAGTATGCACATACTGTATGCTATTCACTGCCAGCTGCTTGTCAGTTATTTTAATACTGTAGGTACTGTAGCTGTACTGCATTATTCCAGCCACCTCTTGAAGCATTTGGGCATAGTATTCTCTGTTCAATCGCCTCAGTTTAGAGCAGACAGCCATCTAACCAAAATCTTCCAACAAAACCCACAGATCATCGGGAAAAGGCACAGCTATGACTGACACCATTTGTCAACTAAAATCATTAGGTACACAAATTAAATTCAGTCTCCCTGGTTTCAAAGAGCATTTTCTAACACCATACATTCATCTGGTATACAAAGCTATTCCTCAAAGGTAGATGTCAACTCTGTCCCAAATAAAACTGAGGCTTGACACTATTCTTTTTGCACTCTTCAAGGAAAAATTAAATGTGGCACAGAAATACAAATTTCTCTGTATGAAAACTGAATTATAACTTTTTTTTCCCCCTGTTTATCACTACTGTATACTGTATACTGTATTCATGTATTTTTCATATTAACCCCTAAATGTGGCAAATGTGTTTTCTGGTTATAGTTGGAAAAGACCAGAAAAAATGCTTCCGAACAATAAAGCTGGTATATATTCCTGCTGACTTCAACCACAAAAAAAAATGTTTTTGAAAATATTGTTTTTAAAAATGTTGAACATTATTTTAAAAAGTTATAACAAAAACAAAGAACAAATCTTAATTTGTTGGGAACAAACCTTCATTTAAAGCCCCTTTAGTGTTGTTCTTCTGTCAAAATGTTAGCTACACACACAAGGTGACTTTGCCAGCTTGCATTAACAGAGACTAAGGAACAGGAAAGTGGTTTACTGAAATGGAATCATTAGCTTCCTGACAGGGACTTCCGCTCCCCCAGCCCCTTATGCTATAGCAGAAACCTTGCTATTGCCTTATTTCAACACCTTTAAAAATTATTCATTATAAGACAGCACTCCAGTCTTGACAGGGTGCAGCACACCATCAGTCATCCAGTGCAAAATAATCTAAGAAACACAAGCATGCATATGTTCAGGAACTAAGAGACTTCTCTAAACACATTAGAAAGACTGTGCATCTGACAGAGGATATTATTTGCTACTCTATCTTTAATGCAACCCTTTGGAAGCGTTAGACCCTGAACTGGATACCAAGATGGGCTAACGGAGACTCAGTATTAAACAATCTGAGAAACAGTTTTCTCCTCCTTCAGTTCATTTTAACATCTCCAGGTAGCACAAGCAACCAAATTGACAATCTTTGACAACCTGGGAAGCAGCTCCACGTTTTTTCTGTCAGACGCTGCATGAAATATGTCTCTGAATAGCCTTTACTGGTTATGCAACAGCGGTTTCTTCAGAAGGTTTTCCTTTTCATGGGAAAAAGACAATAATCTTTATAAATAACACAGGGCAAAATTGATTCATCTTGCCAAGAAATAACACTGGCTTCCTGAAATAATCTCCACTGACATGGAAAACACACTCTAGTAAGAGCACCGTTTGAACTGTCATTCCAAAGACTTAGGTGACCTTGAACAAAAAAAACTCAATGCACTTTGCTCAATATTGATGCTCTCTCAGATGCACAAAGAAAAAAGGAAGGATTGGCTGACATAAGCTTTTGCTTTCAAAAAGAATCATATTTCCCAGGTATTGTTATCAAGCATATAACAGATCCCTTTAATAAAATGAAAAAAAATTGTCAGTGAGAAAGAAACTCTTTTGTAGTACTACAGTATACTTGTATTTGCAATGCTTTCTAAAATTAATTAAACGAAAAGTCTTTTATAGATTGAAACTATAATGCTTTAAATATTTTGGGTGCTTTAGAAATAATAACAGCCTTCCCAAAACAATTTAATATGAATCATCATCACTGTTGAGACAGTGGGACAGAAATTCAGATAATCTTTGAGGATGTTCTACATCTGCAAGCATTTAAACTATTATTTATTATTATAGTATTGCACTATTATTACTATTTCTCTTTAAATCAGAAAACTGAAAATTAAGCCCATTTTATTTAGCAGATGGTGTGCTCTACAATAGAATAAGGCTTTACCTAAGACAAAAGATTCTGATCTGATGCAGGCAGGTGGTGACAGGATCAAAAATATCATTTAAAACATGTTGCAGACATCAAACATGTTTTTTGTCCATTGAAATCCAGTGTAATTCCACCCTACTGCCAGCAAAATATTATATCTAATGATTTTTTTCCATTTTCTCCACATACCATAGCTTTAAATAATTTAGTGCAGAATTATATCAGACTCTGTCCTTTTATCCAGCACCATTTAACTGCAAATCTGGAAATATAATAATGGGATATACATTTTACCACCTTTTAGTAACTTCACACATAAAATCAAACAACTGTATTAAAATTCTTTTACATTCCATGAACTTTACAGTTCCTAACATTACTTCATGTTCCAAAGAACACTGAACTGTAAAAAATGAAATCGCAGTCTATCCCATTATCCTATAAGTTAATATTTTATTGCAGACTTCAGCTGAAAAACAACTAGAATTTAACTGGAAAAGCTGAGAGATCCAGAGATCTATTGCACCTTATTTGTGTCAGCTACATCGTGTTTAAAGGGACACAAATGTCAGGACCTTGATCTGAAAACATACCCCTTCACTAAGTGTTGCTGACAAGCAGACTCTTCCTTCCCTGACAATGGCTTCGTAAGTGCAGGTAAAATAAAAGGTTTTGGCAAAGCAGTGTAAGACAATTCTGAAAATATGATTGGATATTCTAAACTAAAATTTAATTAAAGGTTATCATTGCCATTCCAGCTTCCTCGTTGAAATATTAAGCTCAGTCAAGGTATTTAAATAGTTTTTAACATGTTTGATTTTAAGGGTTGATTACATTATTATTTGCCTCAAGGCTTCCTCAAATGTCTTCTTGGCTACTCACCTGATGTCAACTTGGTTACTCATAGTTCCTGACCTTTCCCCTCTCCAATATTATAGAAGAGTAATTTTGCCTTGTGTTTTCTTCTTATATCAGTAAGAAATGAGTAATGAAACTTTGCCATACCTGGAACGAAGCTCCCCTGGACAACCTCTTTGTATGCCCACCAGCCTTCATGGATTTTCGGTGAATTTTGCTGGGCTGAAAAACAAAAAGGAGAGTGGGGACACTTGAGATTAATACGCTTTGTCATTTTAAACAAAGTGGATCTGAAACCTGGATCCACACTGAATAACTGATTCAGGCTTTGCTTGTGTAACCGTCACAGCACTTGGGTATGGTTTTCAACAAGGCATCTAGAAGCACAAATTGAAAACAAAGTTGCGAGCACCTTTTTCAGTCCCAGTAATAATATGGAAATAAGCTCTGTCATGTTGTGTCAGCTGTACAAGAAAGCAGAGATTCCAAAGGATTTGTACTTTATAATTGGGTGGCTAGGTATAGTTTCAGCTACAAAAGAAGGTTGTGACCTGGAATTACAGACAAGGCTTTCTAAGATATTGTGTTTTACACTGCAGCTGTTCATTGAATAATGACCAGAAAGGCCTAACAAGAAAGCTGAAGCTTGCCTGGTACTATTTTATAGAAAATAGAAATGATTTAACCTACTGCATGCTGCAAACAAACACTACCCAGATTAATTATTTCAATCTTTAATAAAAGGAAGCATAGAACAATGAAAGAAAGATTCAGCTCTATTTAAGACACAAGACACAGCCACAAACTCAACTAATTTCAACTGTGAATTTCAAACTATAATACATCTGAACTTCACTTAACAAAATCAAATATTGGAGAGTCTCCTCATTATTCAAAGATGTGCATTCAGAACTTCAAACTTCAAACAGAAGTAAAAATACAAAGAGAAATTTGAAAAAAAAAATCAAAACTTGATTCCTTTTGATTCCTTGATTCCTCCTGGCATTTCTAAATGTACATTTACTGTAGCCTTGTCTTTGCATTATGAATTAAAACTGAGATTTAAAACATGATTTTTAATTTTCAGCATCTCATCTCTTTAAGACCAAAAGTAATCTCATATTATTCCCCAGGCAACCACTGTTTCTGTCTTTAATATTTGTTTTATATATACAGTAAGTGATAAATGAGTGTTAAGTGATTAGACATTAAAAAACTAAGAAAATAAGGCATGATGTAGAGGATTCTGGGCACTGCCACCCACCACTGCTGTAATGTTTCCTCTTCAATTGCTTAAATATAGATATAATTGCAATGAATGGAATGTGATGAGTAATATTGTATTTGGCCTGCTGTTAGTCTCATACAGTCAACTATGTCAAAGCCACAGCTACTGAAGCAATACCAGCAATAAGTCATATCGTGAGACTGAATAAGGATTCCTTCCTTCAAATCTCAACTAATGCCAGCAGATCATTACAAATTGCCTTGCTCATCTTCAAAACATTACTCAACAGTGATTTAAATGGCTAAATACAATGTGTGACCTATATACAGCATAATGTAAGAGATGGTTTTGCCGACAACTATAACTTACTTGTTAACTCTGCATTCAGATCACATTGGGACATTTCTGCAGTGAAATGTCTGCCGCACAACCTGTACTTATTCGCTCGTACATCGCAATACATTAGTCATTACATTGACTAGAGAGCAGGAAGAGCCACTTCATGTCTCAATTTACATGAACTCTCAATCACAGTCTTGCCCATTATCAGATGTTTGCTACAACATGCTGCCCATACAGTACTTTCACAAAGTTCACAATTTTGCTTAATTTGGAATTTGTCAAATTTAGCTATAGCGTCAATTAATTTATTTTATACCAAGATTCGATAACTGATCTGAGAAATTGGGACTGCAATGTCCCTTTATTCAGCATGGGTACATTATATCTGACCAGGTTAGGTCCAGTGTTAGTTAAGTATAAAACATTCTTAAACAAATTTAAGCTTTAATGAACAATACTGGGTCTTGTTTTATATTCAAGACAGTACTTATAAATAGACATCCATCCATCTTCTAACTGCTTCTTTTGGTTCAGGGTCCTTGTGGTGCCTATCTCTACATTTTATTTGCAAAATCCAAACTGCTATTATAAGATATTTAGCATAATATATACCCAAGAAGCTATTGCTTCTAATGTTATTATTTGTATTACTGGAGCACTCATATTTATTGTACATTGCCTCAAACTTTAAGTCATCACACACAAATGTTGTTAGCTGAGCATCCATCAATCCATTTTCTAACCACTATATCCTAGACAGGGTCACAGGGGAGCTGAAGCCTATCCCGGCAGTCAACAGGCGCAAGGTAGAATACATCTTGGACAGGATGCTAGTCCATCACAGGGCACACACTGACACATTCACGCACAGAGTCGCATCAGAACCATTTTCCCAAAAGCCAATTAAACTACCAGTATGTGTTTGGACTGTGAGGGAAACTGGAGCAGCTGGAGGAAATCCATGAGAACATTGGGAAACCATTCAGGCTCCACGCAGATAACATCCCAGGTCCACAATCCCAATATTTTTCCAAGATCAATTTCCACAACTATCTACTAACCATATGACAAAAAAAAATAAACAGACTTTTGGAAAATTAAATATTTATTGAATGGTATAAAGTTTTAAGTATAACTCACTGTGTATTATATATTTAACGCATTGAGAATATTATTTAGTATTTAGAAACAGTAGTTGCCTATCGTTATCTTACTACTGCTTCTGTTTCAGTTTTAAAATATCATTCCTCTATATATTGTAGGAAGGTATATGTGAAAGTGATCTATACTGTAATTCCATCTTAGTTCACTAAGCACCTTAGTTCATAGGTCTTTTGAACCCCTTCAATTGACTCTTATTCATTTTACACAACCAGGCACTGGAGTACTCGATTAACTCTGTGTCTGCCATTTTTTCAGGCTTGACATTATTCAAGTTACTCACTACAGTACATCTGAGCTCTTCACTCCCACTCTACACCACTCAAAGCTCCAGATCTTCACTACTGATCCAGCTTGGCCAAGCATGGTACTCTCTAACAAACACATGAACATGTACAGTACATCAACTGGTTGAAGATGTTTGTAAAGGTAACATACAGGGAGTACTCAGGACTCATCCTGTGCCATCTAAGCTCTTCTCATTCTCTCATGTGTAGGGTGAACCCCACTCCTCCAGGTACTAATGCTTTTTGTATTTCTGTTCCAGCTGGCCAACCCTGTTTCTCAAATCATCTCCATTAGGCCTGGCAAACGTTCAGGACTGCTGGGCTGTGTGGTAGTTCATTTGATGCCTTTCAGTACAGCCCACACTGTATTTTCTCAAGCCTCCCTAGCTCACTGAGGACCAAATTTCTGTAAGTCAGCACAATCCGTTACTAGAAAGATCCTTCACACTGGTGTTAACATTCTCTCATTCTGCAGGTTTCCCAATTAACAGGCAGTCATCTTGGCTCAAGGCCAAACCACTGGGACTGAGTTATGAGCCAAGATGGTGGCTATCTCACAAAGCAAGCTCTCACCAAATAACAAAAAATAATATGGTTAACACAGAGATAAATTGCAGAATATGTAAATGTCTCTATTAGGAAAGGGAAAACAACTTCAACTTTGTTCATCTACAAAGAGCCAGCAGGAGTAAAAGAGCATAAAACAGGTGCTTTTTTCTGTTGTACAAAAAAACTATCAAGATCATTGCCTTTCACACAGACTGCAATTGTTTGCATTGAACAGCATCAGCAGACTGCTGAATTGCAATTTTGCACATTGAAAGAGGAAAATGCAAAACATTACATTGTTTCCTCCTGATCTCTTTAATAAAATCCCTGATGAATCACAATTATTTATTTCTGTCAGTGATAAATTACCTCCCCTTGACTTTTTGCATACAGCTTCACTTATGTGTTTTAATGGAGGCTAGGGACAGCATCTATATTAAGGTATTAAGAATGAACATCATAGTAACAAATGAATGCTTGTCTGTTACTGCTTTAAAATTGAGGCCATGCATTTGTCCATGTAAAAGCTTGTACTCTTGATTAGATAATGATAGTACTGGAGCACTGTTTTATGATCCATGCAAATTATCTTAAACCCTCATTTTGCTGATTCTTATTTCTGAGTTTCCAGCTTCACTGGTTACTCTATATGCTAAAATGGTGTACAGCATCATCACTATTGCCCTTACACAGTCTGTAAGAGTCCCTCCATTCCACTAACCCACAGTGGGTCATCGGGCCAGAGCTCATCCTTGCTTTTATAGCAGTGGATGGGATGTGGATTACAGTCTAACAAATCTGGTCCCCACTTAGGCCAGTGGACTAGAGCCACTAGGTGGGTAAAGCATTTTCCTCATGGTACAATTGCAGTGTGCGCAGTGGTGACCTGAACCCACAATCTAGCAGTTATGAGTACAAAGCTTTGTTCATAAACGATGATGATTATTGTGATTATTATTTTGAAACAGTCTTCAAACATTGTATACTGAGAATGTTGAATGAATTCTTTTTGGCTGCAAAGCAAAAACAGAGCAAATGTTATTTAGTATTTACATGCCACGTATGTGCCGAGCTGACGGATCAGCTTCCTTGTCTTCATGAGCAACACTTGTAATAACCTGTAATGAGTGCTGGGATTATGGCAATGATGCACTAATCTATATTCAATCCAGAATTACAGCCCACCTCATATATAATTATTTGGGAGTTATGAAAATGGTGAATAACAGGAAATGACTGAGTTTAGTCAATCAATAAAACAAATAATCAAAACCCCCTACTTATAAGGATCACACCAAGAATATAATATAAGTGAGCTGTTGATAAAGTTAGAGGCACATTAATTCACTGGTACAGTTTTGGTGAAAAGAGTAATAATTCAGGTACACTTGGTGACAGTAACAATTAACAGTGACACTACACACATTATACTACACTCAACATAAGCATACTACACACTAGTTGTCTATTTACAGTAAATAGAGGTGTCCCTTGAAGTATATAACTCTTAATGCATACAAAGGCCTCAATAATAGATAAGCTCCCTACTTAACTAAATACAATACAACCTACAGTTAAATTTCTTTCTCTGTAAACCTGGATGGTAAATAATAAATGGGAGCCAACCTCCTATTCTAAAATGCACCCACTAAGAA